GTTTTTTTAAATTAAAAAAATCTGAAAATTTATCAGTCCCTCCCGGGAATTTTTTTTTTTTTTGTTTTTTTTTTTTTTTTTTTTTTTTTTTTGCTAATTTAGAAATATTTGCAAGGAATTTCTACCATATTTGCGTTAACGTGCGATATTAAAAGTGACTTTTTATTATTACCTGCTGTATCGATCGCATCAAGTAAAGCTGAGGCAGCACTGACTTAAACCCGATGTTTTTGACCAATTTTGAGGAAAATTTGCAGCAAAATCAGACAAAAATGTGGGGAACTGTTGATTTTGTGCGAATTTTGCCGATTTGTGAAAAACCGGAGGAACTTGTTGATACAATTTGGAGTTTAGAGGGCCACGTAAAAAGCTGCGGTAGGCTAGATTTGGCCCCCTGGCCTTGAGTTTGACACATGTGGCGTAGGACGAGGAACAAAACTAAAAGCTGCAGAACTCTGGCCCCCCGAGGACTGAAGTCTGAGACCGCTGATGTATCGACATGCCTGCATCCTGGTATCAGTTCATCATGAGTTCAGTTTGTGAGAACAGAGACGGTCTGTGTCCGCTGACCCACAAAACAGGAAGTTCATCATAGAGTTTGGCACTGCAGGTGTGCGGATGCCAGCTGCCTCCCAGATGTTTGATGCGTGAGCTGCAGCAAATTTTCACCTTTGTTTGATTCATAACTTACACCGAGAGCTGCCCCGGTTTCCTCTGGCGAGACGTCGATGTGCTTCGAGTCGCTTCCTGTCTCCGTCTCCATCCCCCGCAGCTTCAGCTCCGCGGCCTCCTGCCTTCCCTGGAAGTAAAGCACGTTTTAGACCGAGAGAGACCGTCGCAAACGGATTCAACTTTTCAGCAAGTTGATTTCCTGGTTGCACTTTTTAAGTCGGATTGAGGAGTTTGGGATTCTGGAGCCATTATCCTGGATTCGCTTGAGCTCTGTGTTGTCCGATGGCAACAAATCACTCAAGCGGAACCAACTGCTCGGGTAATGGAAGGATTAAAAATGTGCACTGCGGTGACAGATGGACATGTTTTTTTTTATTATTATTATTCTTGGTGTGACCCCGCAACATAAACATTCCCTGTGTTCATTCCCTGTCTGTGACGACGATGCAGAATTAGGTTAAACCCTGTCAGCCTTACAACAGTAGACAGGAAGGTGGTCGTGGGGAGGAGGGGACCGAACATCTGCGCTCATCTTCAAAATAATGGATTTTTATTTTCTCGTCCCTTGAAACCAGATGTTTGCATGGGCTGTTTTCTGCTGGCATGACGCCGATTGTGTAAAGTTATCCGGACTTAAATTTTATAGCAAGTAGCCATGTTAACTTCAACTGTTAAACAAATACGACGTAATATGACAAAAGAAATGTAAGAAAAATGAGGCCTCTGCTCTTTCTGACACTCCGCCTTCAGGAAGTCGTCACAACATCAACATTTTTATCGACTTTGCACTGAGAAGCAGCTCCTATAATGAGCTCAGCAGATGTGCACTTCCACCAGGTGTTTGCTAATTGCTGCTGGCTAGTCTGAAGGAGTTGAGTGGGGGAGATGTGAGAGAGGGAAGCTTAGAAACTGCAGCTCAGAGACATTTTGCATTGAATGGTTGCCATGTGAGTTTCTCAAACATGCATGGAAAAAATTTAAATTAAAATTAAATCGCCGTCACCCAACATAATGAAAAAAATACGTTTTTTGTCAGAAGATGGTGTCGTGCGTCCTCATCTTACGTTGCTTTCTGACGACTGCAGATCCGTGAGGGACCGGATCATCCGTGACAGAGACAGGTCCGACTGTTTCCGGTCCAGCTCCCGAATCAGACTCTCAAACCGATCCCACTCCAAGCTCCAGGGCGGGGACGAGACGTCGCCGTCGTGGGCGAACGGTTCCCCAGGAGTCCGGTGGCGAGCGTGCGGACACTCGAACGTCTTCCGCCTCCGACGCCCCGTCCTTGGGCTCCAGAACCCTCCTTCGGTCGCTTCTCCGGGGAGACTCTGACGCGGCTGAAGCGGGTGTGACGCTGCAGCGGCTTTAGGGGAGCTCTTCTCCGTCCTCCTCGAAAGGCCGATGCAGGTTAGCACCGTGCCGTTGTGTCTCACACCTTCTGCCAAGCAATCTGAATATAAGCAGAAATTATTATTATTATTCACCACTTTGACTCGGATCACAGAACAGAGACGAACTTGCAGTGACTCACCGTGTTTCTTGGTTGTGCTTGAGTCTTTAACGCCGTCAGTCTGATGGCCGTTCTTTATGTGAACCAGTTTTTGAAGCTTTTTCAGTCGTCCCGTGGTTTCAGCAGAGTCACCAGGCTGCAGTTAGAGAACAAAGCATCCGTTCGGCTCAGACATGTTTGAAACTCACACACAAACCCAACAGCACTTCACAAGAGTAGACACAACGCTCTGGCGTCTGCACAGCTTTGCAAAATTATCATTTGAGCAGAAAAGGTCGTTGTTTAGTCACGGCAACAGCAAGGAAGCACTCAAATGCTCTGCACCACGCTTGGGAACCAAATGTGAGACTGTTTGCTTGGAAAATGTAAAGTGAAAGTTCATTTTAACAGTTCATTATGTTAAAGTGAGATTTGTTCTGGGCGGGTTCTACCTGAGCTGGTGGATCTGTCCTTGTTCTTTCTGAGGCCGGCTCCCTGATTTGGACTTGTCTTGTTAACGCGCTGCTCTCACTGCAAGCTTCAGAAAGCAAAGAAAACTGTTTAAGGTAAAATTAAGGCCAAACACACACACTTTATAAAACAAGCCTTTTAAATGCAACTCGTAGCAAATGAAAAGCAGCTGAGCGCATTATTACAAATGCTCTGGGTCTAAAAGCAGAAACTAAAAGACAGTCTCCTTGTACATCAAGTCTTCATCCTTTATCTGGTTTTTATTACTGTGTCTTTGGTTTATACGCTAAATAATAGTTTCCGCTCTAACTTTTGATGCATTAATTAGATCAGATCTGATTTACTGAAGGTTTTCTGATTCTGGTATTTTGTCTGGGTTAGCAACATCATCCAACTAGCATAGCATTTTTTTTAAGAATGCAGTCTTGTATTATTTTGTACTCACCAAAGGTTTCATCCTCCATTGGCTTACATGATCTAAAATGGCAAATTGTAATTAATTAATCAACTTATTGATTGGAAAAAAAAAAAGAAGCGTTAATAAGCTCAGATGAAGTACCTTCTGCTTTCCTCTTTAGGTTTGGTCCTTGTCTGATGTTTGTCCTTGAAAAAATAAAGCATCGTCTTAAACATTGAGCTGAAAGTCCAAACCAGTCACTCAGTTTATATAATTTCTCACTAGACCGTATCACAGAGACTTTAACGTTGCACCTTCTTTTTTTTTTTTTTTACATAGCCAAGCCCACAGTGTTGGGCTACGCTTAATGAAACTGGATTAATTACTCAGAGTTCAACATCGGTGTCTGCTTATTGTGGAGGGAAGTCAGAACGGAGACAGACTTACAGAGCTGATGGACGGGTCTGAGCCGCCCCACTCAGGTTTGCACCGTAGATGCCCAGAACTGCACTGACACTTGGGCGAGACGTCCTTGTTCGTCTGGCTGTTCGCTGGTTCATAGATGCTCTCAGTGGAGCCATCCTACGGAAACAAAACAAGCAGATTTCATGTCCTCGTCATCTGAAAAACGACAACTGTTCAAATACAAACTGTCTCTGTTGGCCCTTGGACAGTTGGGTGCTCTGAAAATATGCAATCTAACGTAGATTGACACGTCTACTGAGTTACACACTAATCGACTGTCAGTCTTGGGTTTTCCAGATTGGTCTCAGATGTCATTGGATTTCTGTGGCCCATAACAAACACGCTGTTCAAATGTAAAGTTGTATTGAAGTGCACTTTGTACCAGGCCACCTTGTGCCAAAGGTTGATTTTGCAGTTGTACCATCAGATCCGCATCATGTCTTAGACTCCATACCAACACAGGTCCACTGCAGTAATTCCCTTTTATGATAGTTACCATAACATGAATGTACCATATCTCATGTTTTCAGCACAAATAACATCCTGAACCAAAATACACAACTTTATGGGATTTCAAACTATTTGTTAAGATGAACAGGAAGCAGCCTCAACCGGCGATGCTTTGCTTAGTAAAATGGACGTTGCCTGAGTCTCTTGGAAAACCTGCAGACGTTTGATATCCACAAATACTTTGAATTATTTTAGTCAGTCCAGTCAGAGATGTTAGCTTTCCACCACTGTAAGTTATGGTTATAGTTGGTTCTGGTAATAATTTCACAAAACCTCAATTCTAAAAATATAAACTAGTTCCTGAAGTGGTGACCTGTCGTGTCTAAAGGCAACAAAAACAAAGTAATCCCAGAGCCATCGATGTTCAGAATCAAGGCAGGAGAAAGCTGCTGGATGTCAATTCCTCAAACAAGGAGCCGATTACAAAGCCAGAGTTGCTCTTTGGACGGTTTTCGTTACAAAACGCATTTCAAAAAATCTGTGCATTCCCTATGTTAAGCAGAAAGAAAAAATAACTGTTTCATCTGTTATCGTCAAATCTTGTGATAGAAATCACAAATAATTTCTAATCTTTCAGTATCAGTTGTGTAACAATGAATGTGTTACCAGTCTAGTAGAACACCTTCAGAGCTTTTAGTTTAAACCTTTGTTGTTTTTTTAAGGTTGATTTGATGTTTTGATCAATAGAAATACATAAATACATAATCAGAATTCAATAAAATCTTAAACTTCCATTCCTTAACGTTAAGTCTGTGCAACTTTAAACATGTTTTCATAAATCCCAAACTATGTACAGCAAGGGAAGAACGCTTCTCAGAAATCAACCGAATCTTCTTTCCAACACCAACGACGTCCCCAGAGCTCCTCATAGATTCCTCAGCTCACCGGCTCTCTTCAAAAGGTCGCAGGAATCAAACAGATTCTCCCGACCGACAAACTCAAAACATTTCAAACACTTCAGAAGCTCAGCCTTACCAGCATGAAGCAGAACAGGTTCATGTTCCACAGTCAGGAGCCAGAGACGACCGCCAAAAGCGACCGAGCTGCGCTCCGCAACCTCGAAGCAAACTTCTCCCCACACACAAACACACACACACACCCTAACACACACACACACCCCTGTGATGCAAGAGCCACGCAGCCCCCACGCCGTCTCCCATCTAGAGCTTAATCCTGGTTTTAAATCCCTCCTATAATCCAATAGATGCAGCGAGCCGTCACTGTCGAACGTTGGCCTCGGACGGAGTCAAAGCTCCCGTAACAGGACAATAAACAACAGGCCATGTTTGGTCACCGTGTGATGATGATGATGATGATGATGATGATAACCTGAGACTGGGATGGAATAATCACTATGTGATGTTAAACGGTTTTCCCCTCTTTTTTGGAGGGCCAGGGGGGAAAATCTGAGGGGGTATCACCATATGTTCTAAAATGTACTTTGAATGTTATTCCTGTTTGTATGTTTGTGTTTGTATAAAAATATTAATATTCAGTCAATTCTGTTCACGTAGTGGCCCGGCAAAACTCAGTTTGTGTCGCGGTCCTCCAGCGTTTTGGGTTTTGGCTTTAATTAATAATCTCTAATTTCTGTATTATCGCAACAATGGTCTTGCCATTTTCAGTTGTTTGTTGTTCTCATTAGGGTTTTATCCTTCCAGTTAATTTTCTTGAGTTTCTCAGTTTATCCTTGTGTTCGTTTCTCTTAGAATCAGATCACTGCTTGTCTTTTTGTTGTTGATAAGTTTGTCATTCCGTTGCCTCGGCTTCCTCTCCTGGTTCCACTGAGCATAAACATCAGCCAGCCACAGAGGCCGAAGCTAACGCACTACATCATTTTCTGTCTGCTTTTACCTCAAAATCTCATCTGCGTAAAGTCTCCATCAGTCTGCAAAAAATCTGTAAGTGTGTGAAATGGACTGAAGACCGGAGTCTGCAAGTGTGTGAAACCACCTGACCTCAGTCGTCTTTGAAAAAAATAAATAAATGAAAAAAAGTGTTTCAATTTCTTGAGGCGGGCCTCGCAACGTTAAGCCGATACAAACACTTTGGTACACTAGTTGTATTACTTGAAGTTAAGCTAGATCAACTGAAAGGGGGAAGAAATGTAGAACATCTTATTTTAAAACTTCAAGAAGGTATAGTGGGGGGTAGAGTGAGGCTTTAAATTTTCAATTAAAATACAAAAGTGATGTTTTTTACAAATAAAAAAATTGGGGTTGATAAAAAGTTGTATTTATATGGGAAAGGGTTAGAAAGGATTGACTGTTTTCGTTTTTTGGGAGTAGTTTTTGATAAGAAACTAACTTGGGAAAATCACATAGAAAATATTATGGAGAAAAGTAAAAAGGGGTTAGGGTTATACACTTTACACAGGTAAAGTGTATAAAATTTTTAAGATTATGGTTTGATGAAAAATTTAAATGGCATATACATATTCAAACAGTTGTTGATAAATGTAAGAAAATTTTGAATATTTTGAGATGTCTGGCTGGCAGTGACTGGGGAGCAGATAGGAAATCACTAAAACAGATTTACACAGGTATGATAAGGTCCAACATAGACTTTGGTTGTTTAGTTTACGGTTCAGCAGCTAAAACACATCTGGTTAAATTAGAAATTATCCAACATCAGGCACTAAGTGTTGGGTCCCAGGGTGTGGGGATTAGTTTGGCTTCCTTTTCAGTTCTTCGGCAGTCCACCAGAGGGAGCCGTTGGATCACTCTGCTGGAGAGGGCGCGCCTGCAGGCTCAACTATCCACACCTGAGGGGAATTATCCAGAGGAGTATATAAGCAGCAAACGGCCAACACTTCCTTGCCAGAGTGTTTGCCAGTTTTGGTACTCTAGCTCCTCAGTGTGTTTAGTCTAGAGACATCTTGTTTTTTGATCTGAGTTTGTTCAGGCCCTCACCCTGTTTCTTGTGGCTCTTCCTCAGGAATCCTTTGAGACCTTCGGAGTCGGTTTCCTCAAGTCCACCAGCCCTGAAGAAACCTTTTGTGACGCCTCGCTGCTCCTCCGTGGTGACAAATCTGACCTGCCCACCCTCCAACGTCGGGTTAATCTCCAGCCAGCCAACATCAGCTTTGCCCCTCATCTGGAACCACGTTCCTCCGCCCATCATCCTCCACTTGCTTTTCAAGTAAGAACAGAGCTCACGGCCATTCGTTGACTCCCTTCTCATCCCCTGTGAAACCATTAACCTCTCTCTTCCCTTGTGTGCAGACGCACCCAGACTCCGACCCGCTGACCCCCTAGCCGTGTTTCTTTGTTTGATTTTTGCAATAAACATCTTTTACTTCCATCTCTCTGTTGGTGTTTCTGCATGTGGGCATAAAACATTAGACCCATTATGACACTAAGATTATGTACTGGAGCATTTAAAACCACACCAACAGCAGCCTTAGAAATAGAAATGGGAGAAATGCCGTTAGATTTAAGAACAAAATTAGAAATTAATTATTGGTTAAATTTGAAAGGAAATGACGCTAATCATCCAACTCTGGAAATTTTAAATCCATGTTGGGAAAAAGAAATGAGGAGTTTTGGATGGACAATTAAAAATAAAATTTAAAAAAATTAAAATGAATAATTTAGAAATTAGTCAAACAACACCAATATCAATTATACCACCCTGGATTCTACCAGAAGCAAGAGTAGATATGCCAGTAATGGGGGAAAAAAACAAGATAAATCTTACATTGTAGATAGTTATTCAGTGCAATTATATTTAAATAATTATAAATGCATTCAAATTTATACTGATGCATCAAAAATAACTGGGAAAATAGGAATAGCGTTTGTGGTACCAGAATTCAATATAAAAATAGGAAAACGAATTACAGATGGATTATCGGTATACACAGGAGAAATGTTGGCAATATTATTGGCTTTACAATGGGTAGAAGATATAAAACCATTAAAAACAATATGTTCAGATTCAAGCTCTGCATTATTAAGTTTAAAAAATAATCAAACAGATAGTAGGATGGACATTTTGTTAGAAATATTTAAATTATTCAGAATGCAAAACATGGATTTAATAGTTATATTTGTGTGGGTTCCAGCACATATTGGAGTAGAAGGAAACGAGAGGGCAGATAAAATGGCAAAGAGGGCAATTAAAAATCCTATTAGCCTTACAGTTAAAATAAGTAAAGCTGAAGGAAAGAGTACTGTTAAAGAGAAACTGATGAAAGTTTGGCAAAAAAAGGTGGGATGAAGATAAAACAGGAAGATGGTTTTATAAAATTCAGAAGATTGTAGGAGAAAGAAGAAATGGAAGAAGAAATAGAAAGGAGAAAAGAGTGATAACAAGGTTAAGATTTGGACATACAGGACTTAATTATACACTTTTTAAAATTCAAAAACATAAAACTGGTAAATGTGATCACTGTGATAAATATGAAACTATAGAGCATGTTGTATTAGAATGCCATAAATATTAAAAAGAGGGAAGATATATGAAGAGAGAGTTTGAAAGTATTAAGGAGAAGGTTAATTTATTAGGTATATTGAGGAAGAATTTAGGGAGTAAACATATACAAATAATAATTCGATTTCTAAAGAAAACTAAAGTATATCATAAAATTTAATTATAGTAAGTGTGTTTGTGAATGAAGGCAAAGTTGTGCACAAGTATGTATGTTTTAAGTGTGAATGTGTGAGTGTATGTTTAGATAGAATTATGGTAGAATATATGTATATATAGATGAGGATGAATATTTAAACCATCACGAACCACACTTCATACCAGTAAGTGGCGGTAATGTAAAGTTTCTTGCCAACCGCAATAAAACCGACAAGAAGAAGAAGGAGGAGGAGGAGGAGAAAGAAGAAGACAAAGAGGACGGCACATGGTCTGCTTTGTTGAATGTTCCAGTGTTTCTCTAAAAATATCTTCAGTCCAGCTTAAACGATTTTATGTACAAGCAGTTTACTGCTGCTGAAGAAACATTCACAGAGTTTAAAGAAATCACCGTCAAGTCGGAAGAAGAGATGGATGATCAGCGCAGACTGCTGGATTTCTCCCGGACTCCCCGGATAATCTTACACCGGATAGGTAGGAAACACCAGCATTTGGATGAAGGTTAAGGTCTAAATATCTGAAACTGAATGTTCTTTTCCCGTATAAATGTTTTTTCAATAGGTAAATGAAAGCAGACATCACAATTATGCATTGAGAATGGCTTATTTATGTAGAGAGAAAATGTCCTTTTTTTATGGCTTTCCTTTAACTACTGACTTACTTTTTAAAGCAGGAGAAATATGAACAATGCAGCGCAAGTTTAGTAAAGCAAGTGTAACCGGAGTGTAGATGTCGAGTTCCATTTTCTGGTTTTCTACTACTTATCTCCTTTGCCTTCCAAAATCTCGCAATAGTTAATATAAGTGTGTGTGTGTGTGTATATATATATATATATATATATATATATATATATATAT